TGCCATCATCGACTTCACAGAGGCCTCTGTCTCACAGCAAAGCTACTTACATCCTGGACTCTCTTCTGAAGGAATTTGCCAGAGCTTTAATCCATGTGGGGACCCTACAAATGGATTTTGAGCTTCCACTGTCATCCACTGCCTTCTGCAAACCAGGTGTTCACAAGTTAAGCTCTGAGGCCATTTCCTCCTTCAGATTTGGAATGTATCATTTATGGCCCTCAGATTATATCATCTGGTGTGCTTCCACATGTGCCCTTTCATGGGGCCTCACTCAGATGACTGCTGTCTGTAGACGAGCCTCGAAGACCTCAGATGCATCATTTCTGATGACCAAGCACATCTGGTGTCATCACCACACTTTGGTGTAGCATCCGAAGCTTCAGTGATCCCTTCAGGAGGGTGAGCATAGAGCAGGGGCAAGTCATACAAACTCACTGTTCTTAGACTGGGGCTAAAAACAAACATGAGTCCAAAACTCAATCATAGAAGACAGTACCCCCCTAAAACCAGAATTTTTTTCAAAGATATGTACTTAGTTTTTTTTAATAAAACAACCTTATCATTGTCAAAGTACTCTCCATTATACTTAATACATTTGTCAAATCTATGATTCCGTTCTTGGAAACATTTTTCAAATTCATCTGTTTGGATGACAATTCATCTGTTTGGATGACAGAAAGTACCTCCCAGGTTTTTTTCTTCACCTTCTATGTCATCAAATCTCTGTCCTTTCATGTCCCTCTTTATTTGTGGAAACAAAAAGAATTCCCACAGAGGGAGTTCAAGTGAGTAGGGTGTGTGGGGCAAGAGGGGCATGCTGGTTTTTTTGGTCAAAAAACTGGCACACAGATGGCTGCGTGAGCAGGTGCATTATCCTGGTGGCAAAAACAGTCCCCCGCCTGCCATAAGTCAGGCCTTTTTTGTAGCACACTGTTATGCAATCTTTTCAGAACCTCTAAATGGAGAGTTTGTTAACAGTCTGACCTGGTGGAAGGAACTCCACATGTACTACAAGTGGACATTTTTGACTGTTCAGGAGGTTGATGGACATCCAGAATGAGGTTTGTCATCAATCAACATCTAACCTTTTTTGAAATAAGAAAACCATTCCTACATTTGAGTTTTTCCCTTAGGGCTGTCCTTGTAAGTTGTGTTCAGCATCATAACAGTTTCTGTGGTATTTTTCCTGAGCAGGAAACAAAAGCTCACAATCGCACACTGTTCTTTGAAATAAGCCATCACAAAGAATGAGGTTCGAGCGAAATGGTTTTTATGAAAGTATTCACTGTGACCAGAGAGAACCTTCCCAGGCAACTCCACAGGGTGCACTAACTCTGAGCAAGTTGCTAGATGCTCATCTATGGGAGAAGTGTGTACAGTGAACCCTCGTTTATCGCGGTTAATCGGTTCTAGACT